GAGTAGAAAAGTCCCCATGCATAGGGACACAAAGTTCTGCTTTCTCTGGGAGAAGTTCTCTTCTCTCCCTTTACGTACCTGATAAAAGGAAGCACATCTGAAACTCAAGTGCCACTGTCACAGAATTATTCAGCCCTATTATTTGTTTACTTACATTTTTATAATTTTTAGTGCAATACATTTTGATCATATTTATCCCCTCCTTCGAATCTTCAATGGTCCTTTCCACTTCCCTACCTACCCAACTTCTTTTTCAACCCTTCTCCACAAAACAAAAAAACAAAAGCCAATCTAACAAATAGGCAGAAAAACAAAGCAAATGAAACCCAAAAATACTAAACCCACCAAACTGTAACAACAGCAACAAAAAGTACACACAAAATATGGAGTGTGTCTGTGTCTGTGTCTGTGTCTGTGTGTGTGTGTGTGTGTATGTGTGTGTGTGGTGTGTCTGTGTATGTGTGCATGTATGTGTATGTGTGTGTGTCTGTGTATGTGTGTGTGTCTGTGTATGTGTGTGTGGTCATACCCCTGAGTATGGGGCCTGCTCTGGAGTGTGTATGCATGTGTGTGTTGTGTGTGCGTGTGTGTGGTTTGTCTGTGTATATGTCTGTGTATGTGTGTGTGTGTTTGTGTGCTTGTGTGTGTGGTGTGTGTTTGTGTGTGTGCATGTATATGTATATATGTGTCTGTGTGTGTCTGTGTATGTGTGTGTATATGTGTGTGTGGTGTGTGTGTCTGTATATGTCGGTGTATGTGTGTGTGTTTGTGTGTGTGGTGTGTGTTGTGTGTTTGTGTGTGCATGTGCATGCATGTGTGTGCATGTATGTGTATATATGTCTCTGTGTGTGTCTGTGTATGTGTGTGTGGTGTGTGTGTCTGTGTATATGTCGGTGTATGTCTGTGTGTTTGTGTGTTTGTGTGTGTGCATGTGTATGTATATATGTCTGTGTATGTGTGTGTGGTGTGTGTGTCTGTGTACATGTGGGTGTATATGTTGGTGTATGTGTATATGTGTGTGTGTGTGTTTGTGTATGCATGTGTGTGTGTGTGTGTGTGGTGTGTTAGTCAAGTACCCCTGAGCATGGGCCCTGCCCTGGAGTGTGGCTTATATACCCAGTGTCATTCCATTGGAGAAAACTGGTTTTGTCCCTCTCACCAGGTGTCAATGCCAGTAGCTTCTGGCTTAGGTGTATGATTTGTGTCCATTTCTCCTTCTCCTTGCTGGGACTGTGTCTAGCTTGAACCTGTGCAGGTTTTGTGCATTCTGTCATAGTCCCTGAGTGCATATGTGCCATCAGCCCTGTTACATTTGGAAATGCAGTTTCCTTGGCATCATCTACCACCCCTGACTCTTTTTTAAAAAATATTTATTTATTTATTATGAACACAACAGCCTGCCTCCATGTCTATCTGTACTCCAGAAGAGGATACCAGATCTCATTATAGATGGCTGTGAGCCACCATGTGGTTGCTGGGAATTGAACTCAGGACCTCTGGAAGAGCAGTCAGTGCTCTTAACCTCTGAACCATCTCTCCAGCCCCCACCCCTGACTCTTACTGTCTTTAAGCCTCCTCTTCAGCATAGACCCACAAGCCTTTAAGGGAACGGTCTCATTCCAATTAAGGGCAATTTGAGGTCCGTTCTTAATCAGAAGGGAATAGAGCCTTATGAAATTATTGGCTCAAGACCTCACAATCAGTGAACTGGCAGACCAGGGCCTTGAACCTGGGTCTTCTTTCCTTCCCTTACTATCAGAACATTAGTTTTGATTGTTATTGTGATGGTGTATGAGTGTGTAGGGTGGGTTGACACCAGATAAACACTGACTGTGATCACAGTGTCTAACAGCCAGAAGGGCAACGTCGGTCTTTTGGAGTCGGGAATCACATCTGTCACTGGGTGTCGCCTGTAGGCAACTAGACCAACACCAACACTGGAGAGACGGTAAATGGCTTAGCCTCTTTGCTCCAGTGTTCCTGGCAATGGAGAATCCTTTGGAGAATCTGCTGGAAAGCTCGTTTATGGTGACCTACATTAGACTTTCCTCAGTATTTTTCCTCTGGAAAATTGAAATGATGAGTTTTTATTGGTCCTAGATGTAAGTACATTTAAGGCCAGTGATTCATTTCAAGCTGCAAGTGTCAAGAACAAACTGTTCTATGTCACTTCCAGGGATGGGCACAGCTGAGTGAGAAGGGAAAAGACCTTGAGCCTCTCCCAGGCTGGTCAGAAGCAGATTTCGAGGCAGATGTTTCCCAGAAGAGCCTCATTCCCCCCCCATTTGTGTCTGCTTCTACCTGTAGAGATGGAGATGGATTTTCTTATATGTGGTGTTTTAACCCTTCTTTAAAAATGTCAACTTAATGTTGGGCATTTTTCACGTTTCTTCAGTCTTAGCACTTGGGAGTCAGAGGCAGGTGGATGGATCTCTTTGAGTTTGAGGACAGCCTGGTCTACCAAGTGAGTTCTGGGACAGCCAGGGATATACAGAGAGACCTTGCAAAAAAAATTGGCAATTTAGGCTAGTTCCCATTACTACTGACTGAGCACCAGAAGCAAGCTGGTCTATGGCTCTGGGAAGAAATGGAAGTGTTGAGCCCTTTTGATTATTTACTTATTTACTTATTTGACAGAATCTCACTTTGTAGCTCAGGTGTGCCTCCTATTTTAGACTCCCGAGTTCTGGGATCACATGCATATACTACCATGCCTAGCTCTCTTTTAAGTGATTTTGATTGCTTTTGTGTGCATCTCTATGCATAGATGTGTGCAAGTGCGTGTATGTGTTAGCCAGAGGGGGGCATTGGATGTCTGTGTCTAGCACGCTATCATTTCTCTGGACACAGGGTCTCTACTGAATATGGAGCCCACTGTTTGTCCCCACAGACTGGTGACCAACAAGTCCCTGCCATCCTTCTGTCTTCCAACTTCTCAAGCACTGGGGGTCCAGGTGTCTGTGGCCACCCCTGGCTTTTTACATAGGTCCTGGGGATCTGAACTCAGAACCTCATGCTTAAGCAGCAGAAACCCTTACTCACTGATCACCTCCTCAGCCCTTGGCTGCTGTTTGCATGGGAGGCACAGGCATAACTCCAGACACAGGGTCCTAGCTCCATCAAGTGCTCCCATTCTATTTCTGTTCTTTCAGGGATGTTCACCACAAAACCAAGCCAGAGCTGCAGCCTCTGGCTTCACTAATGGAAGCCAGTGGACTCACCCTGTTCACCTTTCTTCTCGTTTACTGGGGTGACTCAATCTGTTTGTGTTTCAGTCTATTATAATCATTCTGAGGGTATGAATAGCTAGATGCAGTTTTTCATATCTATGTGTATGTGATATGCATGCATATGTGTGTGTTCTCATGTGTGAAGGTATACACTTGTGTGTGTGTGCGTGCACGTGTGCATACTTACGTGCATGCATGGGCGGGGGGCTCATGGTTGACGTCAGGAATTTGCTTTCCATCTTATTCAGTACAGTGGGACCTCTCAGCTGAACCCGGAGCTCGATGATACAGCTGGTTTCATCAACCAGCTTGCTTTAAGCATCCCCGTCTTACCTTCCAAAGCTGGAGATGCAGAAGGCTGCCACTCTCCACGTAGCTTTGTGGGATCCAAACTCAGATTCTCTTGTTCATGTTGTGAGCATTTTAGTGGCTGAGCCATGTCCCCAGTCCCCTAGAGTCATTGAAAATAGCAACAACAAAACAAAAACAAAAAATAGTCCAAAGAGGTTACCCTTGGATACTTATCCAGAAAGATAAATGAACTGATTGATGCAAGAATTGACATCATCTGTCCATGGCTCCCAAATCCATTGAAGATCACTCCAATGCCAAGGGTTTGGGTCACCACCTAGGGCCATGTTTACATCCATGGACCTTTCTATTGCAGGGGCCATGCTGATCTGAGTGGCTTCAGCTGCCACCTGGGGCCATGGAGACATCCAGGCCTGGGCTGGTGTGATGATCGTATCTGGGTCTGTGGTCCTACCATAGCCAGGGTCTGTGTTAATGTCCACAGCACCTGGTGCCACCAAAGGTCACATGGATGTCTGGGGTCTAGGTTGAAACCTGTGGCCATGTTGATGTCTGGGGCTGTGTTGCCACCAGAGTCATGCCAGTCTGGTTGGCTTGTGCTGTCACATGGGGCCATGGTGTCCTCTGGGCCCATGCTGCCAAGGGCCACGTCTGGGCCTGCGTCCCTGCTGCACTTAGGGCCCATGTTGCTGCAGGGTCATAGGAACCATTCTTGTTGAAATCCAAAGGCTGTGCTGAGCTGGCCCTGCCCCTCACTGGTCCTGGGGTAGCTGACCCCATCCCTAGTGGGAGAACCCTCCCCACTTGTGGGAGATGACGCCACCAATCACCATGGGCTTAGGAGAGCTGACTCTGGTGGAGTGGGCCTAGGAGAGCAGGCTCTGACCCTCACCTAACAGGGGCGGTCCTACTGTCCCAGACTGACCAGCTCAGCTACCACCCAGACCCACATCCTGGGACTTGGGTTGGCTCACCCTAACATCTACCCATCTGTGACCTGCTGGAACATATGAAGGGACTGGTCCTGGAAGGACAGCAGCAGGATCTCCATGACTTGGGGCCATAGTGGGCTATCCAAGAGGGCTTTTAGTGAGGGTCCAGTGATGATGGTGTGCCAGAGGTCTTGAACCAGACCAAAGATCCGTTGCAATGACCATTTTGCTGGTGGGGCTGATTGGACTAAAGTGTATACTTCCTGACACACTGTAGCACCCAATGCCACTAGGATAAATGGAGAAGTGTTCAAAGATGGAGGAGTGAGGATTTTTCTTCCGTTTGTTTCAATTTTTTTTGTGTGTGTGTGGGGGTTCCTTTCAGGGAGGATGCTGCCGGGCTGAGGGACAGAAATATGGAGACTGGGAAGTGAGTGGGGATTGGGTGCATGATGTGAACTTCACAAAGAATCAATAAAGAATTATGTTATGATAAAAAGAATTGACAATCAAATTTCTACAGCCTTCAATGCCAGTTTATTAAATTACAATTATTATATATGTTAACATATATAATCTTTCATTTACAGAAATTAGAATTCAAACATGGGATGCATACTAGTTAATCACATACCCAACAACATACAATATGCATTTTACCATGGTGTTGTGACGTTTTAACATAAAACATACAACCAATGAAAGCACATAGGGCTTATCACTAAAATCAGGCAAACACACACATTTGTTCAGCCTGTATGCCCTCTGAGACAAAAGAGGGGAAAATGGTGTGTCTTAATCACTTTAAGACTAAAATCACGTACACTCACTATTCTGTTTACTCATTACTGTGAGTCTCTTTCCCCCTGTGTGCACACAGCAGAGCTGGACTCGCCTGTCACTGACCCTCTAGTCTTGAAAGCATCTAGGTGTGCTCCAAAAATTAAAAAATAAAATAAAACCCCCAAGTTAGTCAACAATTCACAGATCAAATTAAAAGGCTGCTGAGCATGGAATCAGGGAACACGAAGCTGAGTTTTGTCTTAACACTCCTTCAAGCTACTGCCCAGCACTAAGCTATGTTACCTCTCCTAGCCTGTGTTCCTTCATTCTCGAAGCGATACAAGTTTGGATAGATAAACTCTGTAGCACTTTCTCTACTGGCCATGACTCCAGAGTTGATGGCTGGAGTGAGAGTTAACTCTTCTAGCTCAACGGGAACCACCAAATTCTGGGTGGCCACATGGTCACAGATCTGGAAAAGGGAATCATTTGACTCAATCCCTCCTCTGACCTCCATGATGCAATGGCTTCTACAAAACTCTCTTTTTGCTTGACTCTCTCCAGAGAATGACCAATCACTACCAGGCAAAAAAGTCTACTTGGGGGCAGAAAACTGGTTTAGGTATGGACACCATATGTAAACAGTCTCCTTACTCTTTTACATTACCCCTCAGGCAGCCAAAGATACTTCGTCTGCCTTTCTTCAATTTCTCCTCCAATTGTGTCAAATTGAGTGTCACTTGCCAAGAGTAGAGGGTTGGAAGACAAAACATCTAGCTCTGGCTTTTCTATTAACACACTGTGTAGCTCTGGAAAAGTAGCTGCAATTTGGGCTTCTGAGTTTCCTCAAGATGGGTAGATGGAAGAGGCAAATGTATCACAGAGATCAGAAAGTTTTGAGGATAATAGAGTAGGCCAAGCATCAGTGTTGCTACTCTGATCTAATACTGTCACCACTATCAAAGGGCTCACTGAATCCTTCAAAGACTATAAGCCAATATGTTATAATTATGCTAATATTCAGGACAATAATGCAGATTTAAATAAATACTATGGAAAGCAGCAAAACACTCCCAGGATGCTAAGCCCTAAAAACCAGGGGATTTTTGAGGCCAGACGTATCTGCATGTATTTTGCAAGGGACAGAATATAAACAAACCTGCTCTAGAAATTAATCCCCAGTGTCACAATCATGGAAACCTGATTGAGTAAGGACTTGAGAGAAATGGCATGCAAAAGAGCGCTGGCAAGGGCCGTGCCTTGTGCACAGTGTACTCGTGGACTCCTGTAATCTATGCTGACAAGCACAGAACTGGAATTTCCTTTGGAGTGACATAGCTTGCACTGAAATGGATCCAAGGGCTCTGGCATGAGTGGAACCCGATTATGTTTCAGGACATGAAGTGCTAAAACTACACTTTCCCATTTCCCACTTTGCCTTAGTAAAACAGCAAAAATAACCTCAGAAATACAGCCTAGCAATTGTGTTTTGTCAAATGGATATAAAGCCAAGGTCAAAATTCAAGTGACCTATGAATGCTGATTATGGCATTTGCTGGGTACATGGGCATTTCCTCACCTCCAGGCATCCATAAAGTTCTAGCATTTTTAAAGGTGTTTGTGTTAAATTTCAGGCCGGTAAATAACAACTTTTTGTTTGTTGTTTCAATGCTGGGTCTCGCCATAGGGAATTGTAACCTGACATTCCTCTCTCATTTATTTATGGAGGCTGCCCTTGCATAGCTTTTATAAAAAAAAAACGCTCAAGAGGAAATACAAATCATTTTGTTAATGGTCATCTTCATCAAATGGTGCCCATATTCATAATAAGAGAATACCAATTGTCTCAAGTTACCTAATTAATTAGCTAATACATCCAGAGTGATTAAAAGCTCCACAGGCAATGGCAATGCCAATCTGTTAGAATGAGTGGATCTGAGACCAAAATAATTTATTTCTCTGTCTCCAGGGCAAGTACACTCTAAATAAATGTTTATGGAATCGATTTGAGCTCAGCAGCCTTTGAGAAGCATTTAACCCGAAAAGCATTTCTCACTAAATTAATCATTTTCCAAACCACATGCCCCTTTCCCAAATCCTTGAATATATTACTTTATCTTTAAGGACCAGCCTGTGTTCTATTTTTTATTTTAATTTAAGATAAGGTTCTTTATTTTAAGATAGCCCAGGCTTGCCTGAAAATTACTGCTTAGCTCAGGTTGTCCTCAAACTCATGGCAATCCTCCTGGCTCAGTCTCCCACATGGTGGGATTACAGATGTGTACCACCATCCCTGACTCCATCACATGTCTTGCTTTTAAAAGCAGTAGCCTCATATTCGCTGTCGGAACAGCACCTTGGAAACAGAAGGGCTCGTTTCAGTTCAATCAAAAATGTTTGATATATATACATATATACATATGTATATATGTATACACACACACACACACTGAACCTGGGGCTCACCAATTTGAGTAGCTTGGCTGGCTAGAAAGTTGCAGGGAGAGAGAGAGAGAGAGAGAGAGAGAGAGAGAGAGAGAGAGAGAGAGAGAGAGAGAGAGAGAGAGAGAGAGAGAGAGAGAGAGAGAAATTATGAGCTCCAGTTTTCATCAATCAGGAGCAAAGTGAACACCTGGTGGGAATCTTTCCAGAGCCGTAACATCTCAGGATGCCAGGAGATCCCTGTCTTGGGTAAGCTTCCAAGCCATCCAGATCACCCATGGGCAGCCCTGAAGGCCATGACACAAAGCTTGGGTTTGGTGGAGGAGGTGAGCGGGTCACTCTGGCTGCTTTGGACAAGCCCTCTTCAGTAAGTCTGTGTTGCTTGACGTGCTCATGCACCACGGAGACAGACACAGTCATTCTCCGTTTCTGACCATGGAGCCAGACTGGAATCACTGACTAAGCATCCTCCACTGACCGACGAACAGGAAAGAGGGCACCTGGAAACACCACGTCCTGAGAGCAGTGGATTGCGCCATTGGAGATGGGCGTCTCAGCTTTTAAAACCCAGCTCTGCCAAATATGAGCTCTTCTGAATTTTCTATTTACTGTCTCAGACCATAAGGTATATAGAAGATCAATTTTGGGTTCCTAAGTTATGTAGCTAAACCACTGTCCCCAATCCCTGATATCCCCAAGCTCCTGATTATAGTTCCATACGAGCAAAGAAAATTGGAAAGTAGGAGGCAAGGAGGTTCTGCATGATTATGGTTGCTTTCCCCTTATAGCAAGAAGGCTCCAAAGAAAGTTTTATCTTCTTTTGTGTAATCCACCAAGGAGATGTCACTGACATTGACCATCAGCCTGTCCCCTTCTTCCAGGGAGAACATAGCCCCAAGGTAGAGGGGCTGAAACCAGTTGCTGCTTATTTCACACACAGACTTGGTCCCTGTGAGGAGGTGGGCAGGCTCCGGGTAGTTGTCTGTTACCTTGGTGATTACCACAATGATGGATTCTGGCCTGTTTGGTTGTCTCCCTTGGCTGGTGTCGCCACACCTGGATTTGAGCCCTCGGAATGTGATCTGGGAGTAAATGAAATAGTCTCCCGACTCTGGGATCACCAGGAATTTGTTGGTGTAGTTCATCCGGTTCTTGGTAAATGCCAAACCTAGTTCATGCTCCCAGTGCAGGGCGGGGAACTGATTTTTCAGATGTGGCACTGGAGTTTGTTTAAGAACTGCAAATATAAGAGAGAAGTTTGATTGGCACAGACCAGAACCTGTGGCCTTTGGTAAAGTCTTGTGCTATTTTTCTGTCTGTTTTCTGTGCGTGTGTGCGTGTCCATGTGTGCGTGTCCGTGTGTGTGTGTGTGTGTGTGTGAGTGTGTGCATGTGTGTGTATGAGTGTTGTGTGGGTGCGTGTGTGTATTGTGTGTGTATATGCACGTGTGTCCATGCTTGTGTGAGTGTGTGTGTGTGCTGTGTGTGTGCATGTGTGTTGTATGCATGCGTGTGTGTGTGTGCTCACATGTGTATGTGCACCTGTGTGCCTGCTTGTGTGTGTGTGTTTGAGTGGTCTTATGTCTACGTGTACATGTACATGTGGAGGCCAGAGCTGGAAGTGGGGTGCCCTCTTCGGTTGTCCTCCCCCTGTTTACAGGATTTTTCACTGAACCTGGGGCTCACCAATTTGAGTAGCTTGGCTGGCTAGAAAGTTGCAGGGACCCACCTGTCTCTGTTGCTCCAGTGTTAGGGACACAGGCATGTGTGGTTGTGCCTGGATTTTCAGGTGGGTGCTGGGGATCCAAGTTTTAGTCCTCCCGCCTCCCAGCAGGCACTTTACAGACTGAGCCATCTTCCTAGGCCCGGTTTCCCGCACTCACTGTCCTTGGTGACTCCAAGAGCTTATGCAATGTCATTCACAGTCAGAACTGTGGCATTTCTGATAATGTACATTTGTGTCCTGGTGGTGTGCTCATTCGGATTTGACTCATTATAAATTTTTTTCTTTTTCTTTTTTGAGATAGCATTTCTCTGTGTGGACCAGGCTGGCCTCAAATTCACATAGACCCAACTGCCTCTGCCTCCCAAATCTGGGATTAAAGGTGTGTGCCACCACCACCTGGCTAATGTTTTTTCTTATTTACAAATTGCTGTTCTACATGGACACAGTGAAAGTTATGAAATCCTTCATTCTTCTCTGTACCTGAAAATAATTTACTGCTAACAGCTTGCTCATCCAGGACAAGTCCCAACACCATACTATCCCAGTCCTCATTCCTGGACTATGAATGATGAATCCACCTGTTATCCTCACTGACCAGTTGGAAAAAGATCCATGCGGAATCAGTGTTTTGCAGGCCCCTCCTCTTTGCCTCACCCTCAGCCTGACCAGCACCCAGTTGTCGGGAAGATAAAGCTGACGTAGGACTGCTACATTCTCTGAGTAGCTCTGACAACTCTTTATCCTCCTTCCCCATGTCTGGTTCATTCCAGCTTCTGTCCATTCCTTACAAGGAATAGGCCTTTTAGCTTCACCAGAGAAACTGGCTGGCTTTGTGTCAAAGCCAGATCCCAAATGTAATATTTCCATGATTGTACCAGTATCCTTCCCATCCACAGTTCTGTACTGATCATGTACCCCATTATGGTTACAAAAATACTGGGGTGGGGGAAGGGCATCTGTTGATCACTCTGTCTCTTTTCACATTTCCCTAAAAAACACAGTAAAACTCTTCACATTGTATTAGGAGTTAAAAGCCAGCCGGAAGCACTTAACGCACATGGGGAGGAGATGTGTAAGTTTTATCAATGCTATGTCATTTTTATATAAGGGACTTTAGCATCTGAAGACTGAACCGTTTGCCAGAGATCCTGGAAACATCTAACCACCAATATGGAATTTATGACATAACTGTACTCTCTTCTCTCTCATTCTCCTTCCTTCCAGAAGAATGCCTTTTTCACACTGCCATCTTACTTAATCTGTGCTTGTTTTTATTTGGCATGTCTTTCCTTTAAAAAGAGAGAAATAGCACTCCCGAGAAGGAACAAAGGAGGTATAAAACCCATGGCTATTGGGGGAATACACTCATCTTTACTAACATTCATGCTTCAGACAAACCCTGTTTCAATTAGAAGGGAAGGAGGGAGGGGGAGAGGAGAGGAGAGGAGAGAGAGAGAGAGAGAGAGAGAGAGAGAGAGAGAGAGAGAGAGAGAGAGAGAGACCAACCCAGTCATTACATCAAAACACGGTGATCTAATGTCACAAAGCAGGCAGTAATCAATAACGAATTACCTGAGGACATGTTGGGACCAGAGACTCAGAATATTTTGGCAATTCTTCTCCCACAGTGACTGGGTCAAATATAAGCCAATGCAAATAGACTTGTGGAACGGAGGAAAGCTGGGCCTTGGGCCACTTGGGCCCAGCACCAACTCTGATTCCACCCCACGCAAAGCTCTTTAACCAACTGTGCATGTTGGATTTCTCTTATGCACCTCACATCTCGCCTGGAAGCTGAGGACAGGGCTCTTTAGAGCCTTGTTCTGAAGATGAAGTGGACAGACCAAGTGTGGGCATTTTATAGATTACAATAAGCTGGGTACAACTGGGCTTGGTTTTTCTGTTCAAATAAAGCACCATGTCTCATTTAGACAGATTAAAGAGTAAGCCTGTGTCATTTTATGTATTTTATATGTTCTTATGTTTGCATCACTCCTACATACATATTATATAAAACATATTGGTCAATGCTTTATGAAATATGTCTGTAGTTAAAGGAAATAAATAGAACTAAACATGTTTCAAACCACTGATGTCAAATAGGATAATTGGCAACAAAACTATCACTTTTAGAGGCAATGAAAACATCTTAATTCCCTATAACTGCTTTGGAAACTCACAGCAATCACCATTATGTACTAACACTACAGTTTGGGGAAATCTTCTGTTTTAAGGAACAATTTAACAATCCAATGGGTGACCAGAAACCCTGGTCCTGCTAAGGTGTCTTTCTCATGATAGCTGGACAAGGGTAAGCTTGGTGCATGTCCCGAATGGATGTGGACTCCTGTAGTGTCTACATTAAGTGGCTCTTGGGAAGCTCTGGAGCCTTCACATAGACATCTTGTCAGTCACATGTGGTGGTCTCTGTCCCTTCCCTATGGATGATTGGCATGCCTTCTCAGGTGATGCGTAAGCTAGCCCCACGGTGTCTCCAGAGAGGCAATCCTGCAGCCTACCTGAGTGTTGTCCTCTACCGCTTTCCACCTTAATTTTTGAGATGGGTCTCACAGAACATGGAGCCTAGTGTTTCAGCTAGCCTGACTGTCCAGTGAGCTTCTGAGATCTGACTGACCCTGCACTCCAGTCCAGCATTACAGGAATATACTGCGATGTCTGGCTTTATACATGGGTGCTTGGGTCTCAACCCAGGCTCATAAACAACAGCATTTCACTCACTGAGCTATCTCCCCAGACCCTTCAAGTCAGTCAAGGGATCTTTCATCTGCTATAAGTTCCAGAATTACTTTAGAGCCCCAGATGGAGGAAAGCCAACTTTTTAAAAAACCTTTTTTATGGCTGGGCATGTGTATGCCAGAGAAAATCAGGAGAGACAGGTAGAGGGTTAACTCAAGAGGAGTGAGCACCAGAAGGACATGAGTCCTTGGATCTTTCACAGGGATGTTGCCAGTTTGAAGCCACCATAGTGAGTTTTGGTAAATATAATGAAAGAAATCTCAGAACTATGACCCTGGTGTTCAAGGAAGGACATGAAGTCTTACTTGTCAGGTGTGCCCGTGGCTTAGCTCTGGAAGGCGTGTCTGTAACAAGAAGAGAAGTATACTTTAATAATGGGTAACAGAGAAAAGACAGCACCTGTAATGGGAAAGAAACATCAACCCCATCTCATGCAGTTCAGCTTCATGCCTTGTAGGCTTTGATTGGTTTGTGTATGGTATCTGTAGAATGTACCACTGGGGACATGGGAGACTTAGGAGTATGAGTCTTGAGTGCAAAGGACTTTGGGCAAGTTGCCTGGCATGGACTCTGTTCTCCTACCTCTGAGATAGGCACAGTAATCTCCCTGGCTCATTGCTTCTCCAAGGCTGTTCTGAGAGAGCCAGATGACTTTCTGTATTCCTGTCGTTCTTTTACTATATCCACTGAAGAGTACGGGTAGCACAACAGAGGAGGGATGGCACAAGCAGGTTCCACTCTGTTGCTCCATGACCTTGGTGGATCCTTTTCCCTTTCTAGGCCTTTTTCTCATTAGTATTTGAGAAGGACCTTATAATTTCATGTTGGCTTTTGTATTAAAGTTAAACGTGTTCTCTACTATAGAATCTATTGATAAAGATTATTTTGATGATAAACAGCAAAATCTATTGTGTACTTTTGCTGTTTTGGGAACTGCTCTCAGAGTTAGCTAATTTCATCTACACTTGCCTGACCAGAAAGGATAACCATTGTCAGAAGTGAATGAGTGCAGATAGCTGGATTGATCTGTCTGAAGGTTGCATTGCCTAGCATATCTGTGAGCTGGGAGTTTGGGTCAGGCAGTAGGCCGTACATGTAGACAGAGCAGAGTTGTGACTTTTAAACAGTGAGTGAAGAGCCTCATTATTCTTTAAGTCTGTCTGCATCCCTTGACTTAGCAATGTGGCAATTAAAGACCCACCTCCAACTGCCTACATCCTAAGACTATCAGAAACTCCCTCATTCCCCACAAGAAAAGGCATCAAAGATGATCACTTACAAACTGGCTGTGGTGAAGGTTCAGACTTCTCTTCTGTTATAGCCTGTTGAGAAGGAAAGATACAGTTCAGTCCTTGCAGCCCATCTTGCCTCAATACACACAGAGAGATGCCCATAAGACTCTGCTGCTGTCTATGCCTTGCTCCTCTACTGGGAAGGAAATGGCATTGGAACATCTCAGTTGGTGGGAATCTTGCATCTCAGCTCTGCACTCCCCTTTAGAGACCCCCATGTCCTCTCTCTCTTATCTTTATTTCTTAGCTTGAGAGCTTTCCTGCTGTATCCTAGGAGACCTAAGCATCCTGTCATTGCTTGTAGTAAACCAATAGTGGGAGTTACTTTATTTTTTCCTCACTATATTTTGAAGATTTGAACTATTCTTTGTATTGGCATTTACTAATTGTGCATCATGGAGGACTTCATAAAGACATTCTCAGCCAAGTATATCATGTAGTTTGACTATATTAACCCTCTTATATTCGGATCTTCTCCTCTCTTTCTCCCAAACTACACTTCTTTTTCCCAGATAGGCTTGGTTTGATTTCATGTAACCCGCCCCTCTACAGTCATATCCATATCATATATATCCATCTCTCTTTATAAATGATTGCATATAATTTACGGTCCACATATGAAAGAAATCATGCAATATTTGTCTCTCTGAGTCTTTTTTTTTTTTTTGGTTTTTCGAGACAGTTTCTCTGTGGCTTTGGAGGCTGTCCTGGAACTCGCTTGGTAGTCCAGGCTGGTCTCGAACTTACAGAGATCTGCCTGCCTCTGCCTCCCGAGTGCTGGGATTAAAGGCATGCGCCACCAACTCCTGGCCTCTCTCTGAGTCTTAAGGAATGATCCAGACAAAGAAATAATGGCTACACTTTCTTCCTATCAGCCTTGCCGTTCTTCCTTGTTTCCATGGAACACATGAAGAATTCTTCCACTATCACAATCCCAAGTCATGAGTCATTTCAGATTTTCATGATAAAGGAAAAGCAGCTATCTTGGCATCAGATAGACATGCATGTGGATTGTGGTTCTGTCCTTTGCCAATGATGAGATCTTGTGAAAAACACTTTCCTCTCTGAGTGTAGTGCATCCATTTATAAAGTGGGGATACTAACACCCCCAAACTTAATTGACTTGGAGAACTGAGGTGAAGATCAGATAAGAAAATGCTCTAGTCATGTCAAAGAACATGTGGAAAAGGCAAAACTCGCCACTCCCAGGCCTGAGCACAAGGCTCAGGAGCAAGACAGGCCCTGGACTTACTACTAATAGTAACATCATCTTTTCACACTTATGACGCCTTTACAAGCCAGTCTTCTGATTTAGATCTTGTAATTACACAGTCTCCACTACAGGTTATTTTATTTCTCACTACCATGGACATCTGATCTATGTCTACAACTAAACATCTGCATGTGCGTGCGTGTGCGTGTGTGTGTGTGTGTGTGTGTGTGTGTGTGTGTGTGTGTTTGAGAGGGAATAGATGTGTAAGTGCAAGGGAACAGGCTCTGACACAGGGGAGTGTGCACCATTAGCACCAGTGTGTCTGGGCCTTGCTTATTGCTCTCTGGGTCCCCCTAAAGCCTCCTGGTAGAACTGCATACCTTTGGTTTTTTCCTTTCATCTATTTTCTAGGTCCTCCCTGGAGGGTCAGCTAGAGCGAATTCTGTTCTGATCAGGATTCTACTTTGCTCATAATCCTTTGGTGGCTCCTCATATTCTTCATGATACAGTTCTGTATTTTTGCAAAACTACATCTTATTTATTTTTGTGTAGGTGTGTACATGCGTAGTGCATGTGTGGAGGTCTGAGGACAAGTTGTGCTAATCTGTGATTTGCTTTCACCCCGAGGGTTCTACATCTGCCTTGTCAACCGTTTGCTTTTCTTTGTTCCCCAGACATAGAAACATCCAGATGTACGAGTGAAGAGATTTACAAGAACAAAGAGGGTGGTTCTTGCTTATGTATGTTGGCAGCATATCCCCCAGCCTCACAAAACACTCTGTGTTAGATGCTATTCATATCCCCATAGTGACAGTGGGGCTCACCAAATGCCCTACATTCCACATGTGGTGGAATAACATGTTAACTCTGGTCAGGTGACTCCAGGATTTCAAGACAGAAATCCTTCTTCTTACAGCTTATGGACAAGCCCCTGATGTGTTGAGGCAGAAGATAACAGGGTCATCAAGGTAACAGTGGGGCAAGTTCAAGGTTCGTTAAACAGGAGTGTGAAGAGCTGTGGAAGCCAGTCTGAACGGGTGCTTACAGGTCCTGACATGTTAGCCAGATGATGGAGAAGTAATAGCCACACTGGACATGCTAACAGATTGTGCAAGAATAAGGAGACCCAATTGCACACAGGGACAGCTGGAAAATGGAAAGGCTCCCTGCTAGGGAATGAAGACACCATAAATATATACCCAGGGTCTTGGAAAAACTAAACAATTGCTGAGACAAACTGTCCCACACCCGTAATTTGCTGACTTGAGGGGTAGAGATGCACCCCAGAGGTGGCCTGGTTTCTGTCTGGTGCCTGACTTGCCATGGGCAGAATCGATACAAGAATTGGTTGCTTGACGAGGCAGAGCGTGGGAAGTGAGTTACTCAACGAGAACTGGGAGATCTTGATTGAATCTACTCACGGTAAGCAAAAAGTTTACCTGCCTTGGTTGCGTTTCTCTTGCCTTCATTTACTTCTCTTCTGAGAAACTGTATCATTCTTCCTGCTCATGCTGGCGGAACAGATACTCTGCACACATTTTGGAACATTCTTCTTTGATTAAGAAGCCCAGGACTGCGAGCAGGAATCTGGGATATGCACACAGGTTCCTGATGACTCTGTTGGGTTTCTATTACCTGGACACATGATTGTCATATATGGTTGGGATGCAGGGTTTTAGTGGTCCAGACCACCACTAGATATGGAGGCTGAGCTGGTGCCCTGCTGGAAAATACTGAAGACCACACCACTCCCAATATCTGCAGGAAAAAAATAAGAGGGGACTCTGCCTTCCTTTCCTTTACTGATTTTTAGAATAATGACTGCCGTGGAGGGGGAGCTAGGGTTATCGGGTGCAGCAATGAATGAGGTGTGAGGGAGAACAGTAGCTTGTCTGGGGAAAGATTCAGGAGCCAAGCATCACCCGCGCCTGTTTTCCAAACAGCCGCTCGCAGCACCAGGGCAATAAGACAACTTTCTCGTCCTCTTAGCCTGGTTTCTCCCATCACTTCTAAGTGACTGCGGATGTGGGGAGATGACAGCTCCAAAAGACTGCTGCGTTAGTCTTCAGATTCAGGTTGACCCGGGGCTCAGACCCCGCCTGGAGAATGGGACTTTTCCTCCTGACACGACTTCTCAAACCATGGGCTGAGAATAAGGATCCTGTTCTATTTGTTGTGACGATGTTTTCCCTCCAGGAGAGCTGGTCAGGCAGAAGGGCTGGTCAGCTTCTCTGCTCACTCTGTCCCCAGTGGCCAGGGAAGTGCCTGTGTTTTTACTGGATTATGTAATGTGCAAGATTAGCAGATTCTCAGACCTCAAGAAGACAGAGGCAGAGTGGGCAATGGCACAAAGCTCAGATTCAGTGACTGTAGCCAGCGTTTCACAACTCAAAACTCTGGGAGAGAGGTATTTTTGGTTAGGCCTGGGGAGATGGCTCAGCACTTAAGACACGTGCTGCTCTCGCAGACAACTCAGGTTTGGTTCCCAGCACCTACGTGGTGGCTCTCAACCACGTAGCTGCAGTTTCAGGGGATCTGATAGCATCTTTGACCTCCTCGGGCACCAGGAACCCGTGCAGTATACACACACCCATACAGGCAAAACATTCGTATACATAAACAAAATAAATAAGTGTAACAACAGCATCAACATTTTAATGGCTTAGAGGTGAGTGGTAATGGCCTGTTAGTGCCACAGTCTCTAGAGTCCCCTAAAATCTGCTTGGAACACAGGTGTGGCTGTGGAAATGTTTACTGAAAGTTGCAAGGGTTGTCCAGAAACCAGAGTGAGGATAAAACAAAAAACACACAAAAAAGCTAATGTACACTCTCATGAGCGTACATCTTTCTGGAACAGTGGGGTGTCTAGGACATGCAGCATATATTAACCCTTGAAATGTAATTGGTAATTTCCCCACTCATCTCCACCCTTTTAATCTTTACAGGTTGCAACAATCTTACTATTCTATGATTTTCCTTCTTTCTTTCATTGATTTTTTTTCTTGGTAAGTTGACTAGTAGTGACCCCTGGTTCAAACTGACTGTGTAATTTGCCTCACACATTTCTTGACTGACTCTACTTTTTCAAACTGGGCAGAAGAAAGGCTGGGGCAAGGAGGAGAAGGCCACTTCTTGCTGGGCTCTGCACTGGGCATTGGTGTGTGAGCCGTTTAATAGACTGAACAAGCTAAGCTTCATCACAGTGATGACAGTCAAAGGTAGGGAGAGGGCCTGGGAGCGGAACCTTTGAGCCTACACATCAGGATCCCTCCAAGAATCCACAGGGAACACAAGCAAACAGGTTAGCAACGAGTTGGTCTTTGAGATTTTCTGGCATTTCCCCAGAAAAATCCCTGTGAGTGTATTTTAACTAATGATCCACTTAGCCTTCCCTCCCACTCTGTAGTCACCTGCTCTGTCTATCCTGTTCACAAACAGGAAGTTATATTCATTTCTTGCTGTCATAATAGCTGCAATTGAAAAGACATTCATGCTTTATGACCCGAGACACTTCTCCAGCACGTCTAGGAGAAACCAGGGCATTTGCAGCTTCCTCTCTCTCTGTGTCTTCAAAAGGATAAATCCACCTGGAAACGGCTTACTTGAGGTCATTTCATTACGTCATCCTGTGTCAGCCTGGACCAGGCTGCCATGGCACATTGGACCTGGGTCAGAATGAAGAGTCAGAGGTTCTCAGCAGAGTGAATTAGGAAATTCCAACTTTGTTGTTTCTTGACTCCTGATCCCAGCCCATCAGCTGACCGCAGTGATTCTTTGCTGGCAGGCTCAGGGAGGCCATACTTGAAGTTGCTATCAA